GGCCAGGCCAGGCCCAAGGCTGCAGCTGTGGGGCAGGTGGAGTGAGAGACTGCAGTTGGGAGGTTGCTGAGAAGGTGAAAAATTCTGGAAGGAAAACTCAGGGTCACTAAAGACACACATCACTGATGCTACCTTCCACCCAGTGCCATTTAACCCTTTTATTTCGGATTCTAACCACATGGGGTAGAGTAGGTACAAACTCTAGTACAACGGCATTAGCAAGAAACTGAAAAAGACTATCATAGAGAATGATTTGGTACCATGCAGGCTTTGTAATTTCAAAATTTCATCCATGTGACTTTGCATAATTTGGAGACAGGATTTGATTTGGAGTTGTCTCTATTACCTTGTAGTGGTGTGTGACCTTGGGCAAGAATTAGGACTTCTCTAATAACAGCAGCAAGAACAACAGCTTGTACTATTTGACCACTTACAATCGGTCAAGCACAGTCCCAAGGGCATGGCCTGTATTAACTCGAACCTCACAACAACCTATGAGATGATGGCTGTTATCTTCATTTGACAGTTGAGGAAACCAAGGCACAGAGATCCACCACTAGCTCACAGTCACCCAAGATCCTAAATTTTCTCATATATTACATAGCATACAAAGTCATGAAAAAGATTTATCATGATAAAATGAGGTATTTTATTTGAAAACTGCTGCATAAAGTGAGCTTCCCTATCTATTACTAAAGGTGAATCAAAATATCGACATGGCATTGGCCTAAGGGTTGTTCATACGGATGGGTGTCATGCGGTACCACCACTCAGCTCGCCTTCGTGCCTGTGTGTGGCTTTCGGCAGTAAAAACAACGTGTGTTCATTACTCCAAGAGCGTTGACTCCATCAGATATTGGGCTACAAAAGTTCTCTTTCAGCAACGCTTCCACCCAGAGCCTATGGATCATAAATGTCTCTTTGCCCATGTGCAGAGCAGCAGGCTCCATCTAGGTCGGCGCGTGTCTCCGTGAGTCAAGGCCTCACTTACCAAGGCTGGAAGGAAATAGTACTTAAGGCAAAGGTCTCCTATACGTGATCGGAAGGTACATATATGATCCACATGCTTTTCAGAGGAATGAGACAATAGCATCCTAATCTTCCCATGCACAGGTGGCCAGAAGTAAAGTTATAGCTTGGACCAGTTTTTTAAATTGTTGTATTGAGTGGCAACATCTGCTTTCAGGAAGCTGGCCCGAGGAGAGAAGAGGGCTGTGTGTGGCGCCTGAATGAGTTGGGGAATGGAACGAGCAGGGGACGGGGCAAGGTGAGGAACCCAAGCCGCCTCACTGATCATCTGTCAGAAGAAAGCAGGCAGGAAAGAGTGGTTTCAAAACAGGACTCAGAAACATGCACGGTGTGAGTTTGCTTTTATGTATTTTATCTCCCATTTCATACTTACTAGCTCTTTCTCCACAGTACTGTCTCAAATATGAAAAATTAACATCAAGAATTTCATTTGTATGAGGATGGATCCACCAGGTGATTCCGCACACCTAGGGTCCATCTCCAATCAGCACAACTAACGAAGTGTGGGGTGAAATTTACAGCTTTGTGTGCCAAAGGATGAGTCAGCACTTGTACTGGCAAGCCGAGTGCACACAGCTGAGCAGCTCACTCTGTAATCCTCCCCACAGTCGTCGGGATGGGAGGATAAACTGCCAGGCTGGGTCTGTCCCTCAGTCTCCTTGTCGTAGGCTGATGCTTGATACCTTGATTCTTGGCACTGGGAGCCTTGTGTGTTTCAAGGACAGAAGCACGTCAGGAAGAAACACTATTGAGGCCCATCCTAATTTCTTGGTTGGTGGGCTTCTGCACCAAGTTTCATGTGCTTGTAGAATGAGACAATATGAAACTCTAGCTGCCCCTCCTCCCACAGGGGGAAAGAGCAATGCAACTGAGGGGCTAACCTTTGGGGGAAGCTGAATCCAACCAGGAATGTTGCCATTGAAGGAAGCAAAGAAAATATTCAGTTAATTATAAGGACAAGCAAGGGAAAATCATAGACTAAGTACCAGAAACACTAACTTTAGCCCTTTGAAAATAGACTTATCCAAAGTCCTAGGAACCACAGTGGAGGAAACAATCTTACACACACGATGAATAAGGAGTTCCATAAAGATGGAGGAAGAGTGGAAAGAAGACAGATCCGTGCTCAGACTCCAGCTGAGACATGCAATGGCTTCATGCAACTCATTTGCCCACTAGAGCCTGTTTCTTCATTGCAATTCCTACCTCAGCACTATCCGCAGGTTGGGCACTGCGTTTATACAGAAAAAGGGCCCCTCTTGGAGAAACGAGACTACACAAAGGCATGGCCCTTCATGGGCAAGGCTTGGCCAGGAGACCAGCCTCTTGATGTAAATCAAAGGATTTCGCTGCTTCCCGCTGGATGGAGCCTGACGAAGGAATCTCCTGCTCAGCCCCTCCTCAGGCTGGGGGTCCTGCACACAGAGCACAGGGGTCCAGCTGCACGGCCCTGTCCACCCTGAGGACTTGTTTAGAGAATGAATAGGACAATGCATGGATAGAGAGAGTGCTTTACTGAAAGCATAGCAAAGCCCTCCTGGAACAAGAAAGGAACGAGTCATTCATTGAAAAAGGAATACAATAATCCCTGGGGTCTTATGGTTCATAGATGCTCTATAAACAGGAGATATTATCATCACAAATTTTCCCTATATAGTTTCTGACTCAAAAGTTTCTTTCAATCAATAGCATGCTTTAAGCACAGCACAAGAATCCAGACCGGCCTTCAAATTTCACTAACATCGCCACACATCTAACACGGAGTCAAACAAACTACGTCTATGTAATCTGTAATGACATAATTGAAACCGGGTTTACATGTATTTAAGTAGCATAGTTTTGGTGGAATGAAAATATTTTACTAAGTGGCACAACATATGTTTGAGCAAAATTTACAGAGGTCTCCCCTGCCCCCATGGACTCCTCACTTACCTATGAGAACACTGTTTTGGAAATGCGGGGGAAAAAAAAAGGCAGAAGGGAGTGGTATTAAGTTTCAGTTCTGCACAATGGCACCTTTAACAGACCTGCCAACTAGTCAAAATCTAAATAGGGTGGTTTGAAAACATCTTTATTACTGCCAGTTAATATTCACAGGACTCTGGAGGAATGAGAACTTTCAATGACTCAATATTTATAAATGCTACTGTTGTCCCACCAAAACTTATGTCAGACTCCTAAGAGATGCTGGGACCTTTTGCGATAACGAGGGTGAGGGTATGCATTTTCAATGGGGTAAAGAAGTTGTTAGGAAAACAAAATTAAACACTTATAAATGAGTGCTTGGTGGTCTTGAATTTGAATACTACTTGAATATGATTGGGTAACCTGACTTGTCTGGGCTTTAATTTTAATTTACCAATGTCTTGAACATACAGAAAACATTCAAAATGTACAACACTGATGACCAGTACAGCTTTTGTCTTTTTAGTTGAATTTTTGCTATGTTATCTATGCAGATGCCAAAAAAGGATAAACTTCAAATGTGGGATATCAGAATAACTGAGTTTGTATTTACATCTCTGACAGTATAATCATAACTCCGAATGCTTGAGAAATGATAACATTAGTGAAGTCGACTCTAAATTAAAAGTCAGTGTTTCCATTACCAATCCTAACACTATTTTCAGTTTATATAACTTGATCATTAAAAAGTGCTCTGGGCTGAAAACCTGGTCTGTGTCAATCTTGGATTAAACTAGTTTGCAAAGTTCTGAAGTTTGTTTGTTATTCTCTTTTATCCTTTTTCAAGAATGTATTAATTTTAAATGCTACACATAAAACTAAACCAAAAAAATCTACAACACCTGATGAGCCAACACAATTACAGGCATCACTAGTTTTTCAGAAGAAATTTATGATTTCTATAAACCTACCTTCAAGGTTCCTATGGCTGGAAGTAAAAAACTCAAGCTTTTCTTTTTTCACTCAATCTTTTACATATCCCCTCTCTATTGGTTACTTCATCAAAAATACTAGAACTTGAAATTGGAACTATAACCTTTTGTAGAAATAAACTTCAAATTTGAATTTAACTTTATGGAAATAAAGTTTACTATTATGACTTCTATTAAATTGACTCGTAGCAGAGTAGAATTTTCATCTGGGGATAGCAAAAAAAAAAAAAATGAAAAGATGTTATGTTAGATGCTGACATGTTCAAACTATATTGCAGTACAGGATGACTGCAGAGGGCATTTGTGCATGAATAAAACATGTCTTTGACAGAGACCTGGAAATATCATGGTATCACAAAGCCCACATATTTAGGAGCGAGGTTAGGAGAGGCAGACCTAGTTTTTTGGTTGGGCAAGGAAGGCCTGGAAAGAGGCAGGTCAAGAGGCCAGCTGTGACTACACTTGAGATGGTTACCTCCCTTCACCACTGGGAAATACAGACCTCTTCATGGTATTAGTAGAGGTCCCATCTGAAGTGTCCAGGTATTGTGAATTTTTGCCTGGGAAGGAGCCAAAGCAAGAGAGTGTGTGTGTGTGTGTGTGTGTGTGTGTAAGCTTGCCTGTCTGTCTACACTCTGTGGAGAACATAGAGTAACTACAGTTATAAATGCAGAGAAAAGAATGTTGTTTTAGCATTTCATATCATATTTTTATTTTGACATTTGTAGAATTATGGAAAATCATCAATTCGAAATAGAAACACTTAAGACTGTGAGTCAGAAGAGATCATAAATTTCACTTCCACCCTCCAGCCACCTTCCATATTACTCAGCAACCTAAATTTTTTTGCAGACATGAGTAAGTTATATATATATTTAAACTCAAAATTTAAAAATCTGATAAGTTGTGATGCACCCTATAATGAAATATTTCTTTATATATATTTACACTGCATTGCCAAGACCAACTATTTCCATGAATGTTATAATTATTGCATAGATTTCTATGTGTATGATGACACACACTTTATTATGCACGTATATAACACATAAAAGAAAACACCGTAATACTCACAGTTGTAGCCAGGTGCAATACGATGTTGAGCTTCAAGGCTCGCCAATGTGATGTGGAAAATAATGTGCAGCAACAGGAAGGAAAGACTGATGAAGCACAGAGACTTCAATAACCGTCCTGTATGTCCTAAGGGATAAAAAGTACAGAGATTGTGAGAGAGCTTAAGAGGAAACACACTGGTGCTCTCTTGTACATGTTTCTGTATAACCTATTAGGTAGACCAACTTAAAAGTATATAGAGTGTAATAATTATCACCTTAATTATTAGTGTATAGTTAAATGGTATCTTATTCCCTTTGTAATATCATATATATGGGTTTATATTTATTAAAATTTCACTGTAAAAGAAAGATAATTTCCTATTTATCATATGACGCATTACAGTGGCACTAGAAAAAGGTCCTGGCCCAAAAAATTTTATAAGGAAGTGCTGCCAACTTTGAAAGGACAGGTAACTCCTGTCTTAGAAAAGTAATTCTAGGAAGTAGAAAAGGAAGAAAAGTTATCTAAAACATTTTATGAAGTTGCAGTAACTTTAATTTCAAAATCAAATAAGGCTAGAAAAGAAAATTATAAGCCCATGTTATTCATAACAGATATGAATTATTTTTGTAAAATGTGTCAACCAACTGAAATTGCATAGAAAAAATATAATACATAGGCTAAGGTTTATTGCAGAAAAACCCCAAAAGTGTAGTTAACATTAACAAATCAATAAGTATAATTCACACACTAGTGGGTTGCTATCATGGTTTTCTCAATAGGTACCAAAGAAATGTTTCATAAAGTTCAAAACCTAGTTATAATTTTTTAAAACATAAAAAACAGGAATAGAAGGAAACATCCTTAAAGGATTTATAACAAAACAAACATCCTGTTTATGGTAGAATTTTAGACATAGTCCCACCAGTATCAGAGAATGATCAAGGCCACTTGATATGAATGCCATTAATTAACATATCACTGGATATACTGGTCAATGCCATAAGAAATACAATGAAGAGTGTTAACTAGAATTATTTCCAGATACTACGATCAAATGGAATTATTTTCAGATAACATATCATCATCAACAGAGAATGCCAAACTAAATCCATGACCAACTATTAGAATATAAAAATTTAGGAAATGATTCAGATACAAAATCATCTTACAAAAATAAATATACTTCTTCATTAACAATAATAAAAAAGAATAAGATGCAATTTTATTTGCAAAAACATTGTAAAAGTTTTATCAATGTCTCAATTTGGCTAGGCTGTAAGTCACAGTTATTTAATCAAATACAAATCTAGGCACTGCTGTGAGTTTACAGATGTCACGAAAGTCCATAATCAAAGAGGTTAACTAAGGGATACTAACCTCCATAACCTGGGAAGACATGATTCAATCCACTGGAAGGCCTGAAAACTAGTCGGAGGTGTGTGTGTGTGTGAGTGAGAGAGAAGAAACTGTCAACTTGTGGAGAGTAACTTTACCTTGTGCACATGATGTTCTCTTCCTGACAGCCTGCACTACTGACTGTGAACTTCCTTAGCCAGCTTATATATCAATTGTGTAAGCCAATTCCTTGTAATAAATCATAGGGGAACATAAATCATATATATGTGTATATATGTATATATTATATATTAATAAAACACCTGTGGAAACTGCTACACTTGTTGGTCCTTGACTGATCTTTTTTTTTTAAAGTGTTATGTCATAGTTTCATTGACAGTTTTTTTGTTCTTTTATAGTGACATAAAATAATGGCATCTTATGTAACACATAATAGATATGAAATCTTTAAAATATTAGCAAAATAGACCCATTAATATATGAAAAAGATAATATATTGTATCTAAGTTGGGTTTAATCCCAAAAATGTGAGATTGTTTTAACTTAAGAAATGAATTAATGTAATTCACCATAGTAGCAGATTAAAATAGAAGTAGCATTTGATCTTCTACTTAAGTGAAGAAAAAGGCTCTGAAGAAAATTCAACATCCAGGCATGATAATACTCATGGCTGACAGTATAACCTAGTGTGATGGTTAATACTGAGTGTCAACTTGATGGGATTGAAGGACGCAAAGTATTGTTCCTGGGTGTGTCTGTGAGGGTGTTGCCAAAGGAGATTAACATTTGAGTCAGTGGACTGGGAGAGGCAGACCAACCCTCAATCTGGGTGGGTACCATTTAACCAGCTGCCAACGCGGCTAGCATAAAAGCAGGCAGAGGAACGTGGAAGGACTAGACTGGTTAAGTCTTCTGGCCTCCATCTTTATCCCATGCTGGATGCTTCCGGCCCTCAAACATCCGTCTCCAAGTTCTGCAGCTTTTGGACTTTTGGACCCATACCAGTGGTTTGCCAGGGACAGTTGGGCCTTCAGCCACTGACTGAAGGCTTCACTGTCAGCTTCCCTACTTTTGAGGGTTTGAGACTTGAACTTCCTTACTCCAAGCCTACAATCCAAATACCTCCCATCAGGCCCCACGTTTAGCACTGGGGATCAAATTTCAACATGAGATCTGATGAGACGTCAAACATCCAAACTGCATCAGTAGGCATATTTGTCTTGTTCTTGATTTCAAAGAAGTAGCTTTCAAAAGTTCTATTATGCAAAATTTTACAGCAGTTTTTTGCTTATTTGTTTGAAAATACCCATTACTAGGTGTATTAGGGCTCTCGGGAGGGACAGGACTAATAAGATAGATGTATATATCAAAGGGAGTTTATTAAGGAGTATTGACTCATGCAGTCACAAGGTGATAAAAGTATTTAAGAATTGACCTAAAAAAGAATGCTTAAGAAAGACCTTTATTGACAAAACTGTAAAAAAAAAAAAAAAAAGTAAAACAAATAATAGGTATAAATAAGTGAAGAGATCTGTTACATTCATGAATGAGATGACTCAATATGACAAAAATGTCAAGTTCCCCCAAATTTAGTCTAAAAATTCAGTATGGTTTAAAATAAAATGCCAGTAGATACTTTTACACCTTCAACAAGTATATTTCAAAATATATAAGAAAAGAATGCTCTGAAGATTTCAACAAACATTTTAAAAATACACTTGGAAAAATAAGACTCTGAATTGCCATGTCAATTTTGAAATTTTGAAGAATAAGATCAAAAGTGGGTGAGGTTGGTGTATCATAGCAAATATTAAAATGTGCTACAAAACCATATGTTTGTTTATTTATTTACTTTTTGGAGACAGAGTCTCACTCTGTCACCCAGGCTGGAGTGAGGTGGTGTGATGTTGGCTCACTGCAATTTCCACCTCCCAGGTTCAAGCGATTCTTGTGCCTCAGCCTTCTGAGTAGCTGGGATTAGAGGCGTGTACCACCAAACCTGATTAATTTTTCTATTTTTAGTAGAGATGGGGTTTTGCCATGTTGGCCAGTCTGGTCTCGAACTCCTGACCTCAAGTGATCCGCCTGCCTCAGCCTTCCAAAGTGCTGGGATTACAGGCATGAGCCACCGTGCCTGGCCAAAACCGTAAGTTTAAACAAACAGAAACTTAGATTCCTTAGAGAGAGGAAAAGAAGTCAATTGGAATACCATATATTGCTCAGAAACATACCAGTTTATTTATATTAACTTGATAAATGTCAAAGTCAGCTCTACAAATGGAGAGGAAAAAGGACAGAAATGGTATCAGCAAGATGGCAGAATAGGAGGTTTTGGCTGTCATTTCCACAGAAACACCAATACTGGCAACCACCCATGGACAGGAATATTTTTGTGGGAGCCCCAGAATCTGACAGAGTTTCCAGCCCTACTGTGGAACAAAAAACCCAAGAGTAAAAATATCAAACAGGATAAGTAGTTTCACTTTACCCATGTCACCCCTCCCCGAAGGTGGCACAACTTGGCATCAACAGAGGCCTGATTGACCTGCAATTTCCACTACTAGGGGAAGTGAGTGATGTGTGTGCCTAATTTTTGCGGTCCTGTGAAATGCTACCTAGCTGGGAGGTCCATTCTGTCTCACTTCGCCCAGAGCACTGAAGGAATCAGCCTAGGAGCAGGGAGAAGAGAGTGCACAACAACTGTTGTGCAGTTCTCTACAGCCAGTCACAGTCTCTACTAATCAGCTCACAGACTCCACAAAGAGACCCACCACTGAACCCCACAGGATGACTTGCCTGAGGACCCCCACAACCAACTGATGAACTTCCCCAGCACCCTGTGCCACCCTCTCCTATGGAAAGCACCCTGCACATCCCTGTGCATGGCCTGCACAAGCTCCTTCAGATATCACATGGATCTCAACACGTACAAATATTAGCATCTGGCTTGACTCTACTGGTGAGGGAGAAGGTATATAACATTAAGTACTTCAGGGCATTGCCTTAGGGAATATAAATTGAATGCTGTCAGTACCAGGCCTGGTTTTGTTGGATACAGAGAAGGCACACAATCCTAAGATTTCTTTCTTAATAAGGAATAAGAAGAATGGAGCAGGTGCATCCATAGAAAAGTTCTGAGAGACTCCCAGAATCTCTAACCAGGTTCACTGGTGAAGATCCTTCTGGCCCAAAGTCAGTCAGTAAATACTGGAGAAGGTGACTACTTCTTCAAATTTTAAGACATCTTTTTAAAAATTCAAGAAAATGAAGAATCACAGAAAATTCAAAAATTCAAGAACATGAAGATTCAAGAAAACATGACATCACCAAAGGAACAAAATACAGCTCTAGTGGCTGACTCCAAAGAAATTAAGATTTACAAATTAGCTGACAAAGAATTCAAAATAGCCATCTTAAAGCTCAGTGAGCTACGAGGGAATACAGATAAACTACTAAATTAAATTTTTAAAAATTTATTAACAAAATGAGACATTCAACCATAAGAAACCAGAATGAAGAACCAAACAAAACTTATGGAGCTAAAGAATACAATGACTAAACTGAAAAATTTAATGGAGAGTTTCAACAGCAGACTTGATCAAGCAGAATAACATCAATGAACTTAAGGACAGATTATTTGAAATTATCCAGTAGAGGAACAACCACACACAAAATAATGAAAAACAGTTTTTAAAAGCCTATGGGATGTATGGGACATTATCAGTTGAACCCATATAAACACTGGTGTTCAAGAAGAAGTAGAGAAAAATAAAGGGGAAGAAAGC